CCTTTTAGATGCTCTTCAAAGGTAGAGCTGTTAGCCAGGCACCTGTTTATGCAAAACTGTTGAAACTCACTCCCTTATCTCCCCATTCCTTTTTTTCCACTGAAACAGTCTTAAGTCAGAAACTGCCCCTGTCATTCTTCTATTTACAAGGTCAGAATGAGCAGAGAAGACAAGTTCCTAGAGCCATCAGGGAGGCCGGGCTGTGAGCTCTGTTGCTCCCCGGCTGCACCCTGGCTTTCAGCCTCAGGCTTAGGGCCACCCAGCTCACAGCCTGTCTGCCAGCGCCTCGCCCAGGGGGTGACAGATGCGGGTGTCCAAAACCAGCCCAGACAAACACTGCCGTGGCTGCGGGGCTGGGCTGTGCCCCAGTTTTTGACTGCCAGGCTTACTGCTCCCGGGGCAGGGTGAAGCAGAAATGGGGCTGTGAGAAGGGCCCAGGACCAGGGCTCTGGCCATCTCACCCCCAGAAAGGGATGGCACCCCCAAGCCCAGGACTTAAATCTGCCAGCCTGGTGCCTGCCACAAGAGGATTCTGTGGGAAGGAGCAGAGGTTCTCCCAAAGGGGACTGGTTCAAGGTAACGGGCTGATTTACAGCAGGGGCATTTCCAGCCAGCTCAGGAGAGTGAGCCCTGTGGGAGCTGGAGCTGTAGGTGCCCAGCCCCCAGGATGAAGGACCCCTTTTCATCCAAGAGCCAGAACCCCAAGGGGTACCAGCTCCCAGGGAAAGCTGGCCCTGGATGGCCCCTCATGAGGGGAACAGGCCATGCCCACGGGAGCCTCAGGGCTCGGGGCAGCCCCAGCACCACGACCCAGGAGTCCTGGTTGCCACATGGTCCCCCAAGCCTGGTGGGACCCTCAGGCAGGGGTCTCGCAGCAGCCCCCACCCTCTCCGACACCCCCCCTCCAAGCCCAGAAGCTGCAGCTTTTGACAGTGGACAGCCCCACTGCGTCGCCGAAATTGGAAATAAACCTCTCAACACCAATGCAGCGTTAAGCAGCTGGCATTTCTTTATTTGGCGCTGGGTGCGTGAAGGATCATGCACACGCTAAAACAAAAGGTCATCCGTTATGTACCTTAAAGGCATGAATATGCAGACATTTTTCAAGAAGTTTCTGCCATTCCACCTACCTCCTGCATTTCCATAATGCTGGTGTTGCAAAACTACACTACGCATGCGTGGGGTCTCGGGTGGTCATCTGGGGTGTTATTCCCCTACTCCTTTTTCCCTTTTACGGTCACGAGTCATTTGAGGACCATTTCTTCTCCTTGGATGTTTCCTAATTCTGTTGTCTGGCCAAGCTGTTCTTTCTCATCTGCCTTGTTTCAGCAGTTCTGCCAAGATGTCTCTTCACAAGGTTAGGAGATCTACTCTGAACACTTTACTCACTCAGGCCTTGTTCCATACAAAGGTCAATGTTGTGAGGTAAAACAGTTTCTCAACAACTGCGACCCTTTGGGAAAGAGCTCCTGAAAACCTTCCCCGTGCTGGAGAGCTGCAGAAGCATGGGAACAAGCTGCACAGCTCACAGCTGATAGCCACGGTGCAGCAGCCCTCCATCACGCTTGTCGCCTGTTGCCCTCAGCTCAGAAAAAAAGATGCTCTTCACAGAGCGTCTCCTCTCCAACATGCCCCTCCCCAGGGCTGTGGCTGAGAAGCTGCACTGTGAGGTCACTGCAGGGGAGAAGCCGCACTGTGAGGTCACAGAGCCCTGCGGTGCCAGGGTGGGGTGGGCAGTGCTGTGCCCAGGCACCACCTCAGATGTGCCGGCAGCAGCAGCAGTGAGTAGGTGCAGGGGACCATGGCTCCCACTCTCATACTCATCCTCCTTCTGGGGGCCCTTCAAGCTCAGGGTGCCGGCGCTGCTCCATGGCGGGCACGGGCATTAGGTAAGTGGGCAGGTGAGGGCCAGTGCCCACCGCACCTCGGGCTGACAGCAGGGCTGGGGTGGTGGGGGGGCAGGGCCGGGAGAGCCACGGGGCCGGGCTGGGCCAGGCCAGCCGTGTCCAGCTCCGCAGGCAGCGGGAGGCAGATACCCTGTACAGGGGCACAGGGGGCTGCCTCCACTGCGGGGGCCTTTTCCAGGTGGACAGTGGGACTGGGAGCAGCCGTGAGAAAGCGTCCCTGGAGACGGCCCTGTGCCGCCTGCCCTGGGGCAGCCTTCCCCCGGCTCGGTGTGGCAGGGCCTGACAGCATGGCAGCAGCCGGGCAATAGCCCGCGGGAGCACTTCTTCCCCAGGCCAGGCACAGCCACGTCTGGGGGGTTTGTGGCTCTGCTGCTCCCCAGCTGGATCACAGCTTTCAGCCTCAGGGATGTCCGTCTGGAGATGTCCACTGCTCCAGCCCTGCAATGCTCTCCCTGGGCAAACCCAGGTTGCCATGGGACACACAGCCCTAGCCCACAGCCCAGGGAACAGACGGGGCAGCGCTGGGGCAGCCTCTCCCTGGCCACTGGGCTCTTCTCCAACAGATACAGGAGCAATAATGTTTTCACGTGGGCTCCTTTTGCACCCACAAGAGGTGTCCCAGGAAGAAATCCCCTGGGGCCATACGTTTGTCCATCCGATCCTTGAGGGCTGCTGCACAGGGCCTGGAAACAGTATCTTGAAAGCCTCCAGGTGCTGTTAATGGGTCACCCTGGCCCCTCTGCACCTCTGGAAATATCTGCCCACATCTGGGTCCCAGGGCATTACCTGACCCCCTCCAGTCACTGCAGGTCACTGGGAAGGGAGCTCACAACCTCTAATGGGAACATGCTTGATTACAGCTGTGACCGAAGCCAGTGGCCATGCGACTGCTCAGACGGGTCCTGTCCGGGAGGATCAAGGCTATCACACAGGTATGTCCCTTGAATGAGTGAGCACTCAGGTTTTAATATTCCCTTTGTGTGAAATGTCACTTAACGCTCTCTTAGCCCAAACTCAGGTGTGCAGAAGAGGATCAGAGAGGGAATGGGTGCCGTCAGAACTCTGCCTTGCCAAGGTGTCTGTGACAGCCTCTAGACTCTGTGCTGCTTCTAGTGCCTGCTGCAAAACCAGTGGTGGGCTTGTTGGGGTTGAGTTTAGAGCTGGTGTGAGCTGCAGGGAGTCCTTTCTCCCATCACCTCTGTGCATGTTTGCATGCCTGGTCCAGGCACCCAGTACCTGCCCCCAACATTACTCCTGGTGGAGGGGGGAGACGAGTACCCTGGAGCAATCCCATGTTGGAACTGCCTTCACAGCCATTCAGACCTGCAGAGGTGTACTGAAGGAGCTTCTCTGTCCTGTCTGTTCACAGATGTGGCTGGAGGCGATGACTATCCAGCTTCCCCGCTGGCTTCCAGGGCAGACTCTCAGGGAGATCGCACGGGTATGTCACAACTTTTGACTTCCTTTGAGAGCCACCGGCTCAAAGCCCAGATGTGAGCGAGGCGTCTCTCGCGGCTGTGAGAACGTGGACCTGCAGTGTGTGTGCAGTATCACTGCGTGATCTGCTCGTCTCTTCTGCTGCTCGGTCATGACCGTGTGTATCACAGTGCCTGATGGGAACTCTCATGGGTGTTTGGTTGCAGATGTCAGGGCAGGAAGGGCTTTTCCAGATTCTCGGCAGGATCCTGCGCTGGAGCTTCCCTGGCGTCACAGAGGTGAGTAGTCAGTCTTGACTGACTTCACAGAAAAAGCACTCGTCTTCACTATTTGTGAGAAATTTAACTTTGGACTTTCCCTTCAGCTCCTCACAGAGCAAAATACAACACCGATACAGGAAAACCCTCCCAGAAAACCTCAGATGTCCTGCAGGAAATCCTGAATGAGCTGGACCAGACCATGCCAGACCACGGTAGGTGTCTGTCCCTGTTAAGCAGAAGCCTTCTCAAGCTCAGGTTTTAGATGCGTGGAGGGACAAGGCGTAGCCTGCACAGTAGGAAGGGGTCGCCCAGAGCCTCCCTGCGGTGACACTCAGCTTCAGGCCTTGCGGATGCTGGTGAGCTGCAGAGGTGGTCGAGTCTCTGCTGGCAGTTGGGGTTCCAGCTGAGCCCCAGGAACTGCTGCTGCCCCAGTTAAAGCCTTACTGGGGCCAGAGCTGTTCTGGGCAGATGGTGGTGTCCAGCTGGCAGGAGCTGTTGGCACTGACACCTCGAGTGCGGGAGGGACTTGCCAAGAAGCTGGTTGCTGCTCAGTGCTGAGAGGGCAGCACCCTGCCAGTGGCCAGGGGGGAGAGAGCAGAGGACGCGCAGGCAGCTGGGGCTGGCTGAGACCAGCAGACAGTGCTGGGGCTGCAGGCCTGCCCTTGCCAGGATAGGAGCAGCCCCAGCTTCACAGCCTGCTCCAGCCCCTTGGTGTTCCTTGATGTCTGAGGCCTCTCAGTGACGCCTCGGTGTCACGGACGGGTGAAAGCTGGACACCCAGTGTGAGGCCTGACGCCTGACCTGAAAGCAGCGAAAAGGAAGGGCTGTGAATTCCATCCCGGGTGCCTTAGCTCTCTGCTTCTAGCTGTGCTTTCGAAAACTGGCTGGTGGTTTTCCCCTTGTTTTGGGGGACCGTGGGAAGTGCCGCTCAGAAAACCTCTGTCCCCAGCTCAGCTGGCTACAGCATCTTCCTGTCCTCTCTGAAGGACGTAACCTGCCATCACCTTGCAGTTTGCCAAAAATGCACTAAGTGGAACGAAAAGAAGTCCACATGCAGTCTCCTAGTCTCTGGGCAGGTCAGGATTTGCTGTCTGTTACTAAACTGGAAAGGGTCTAGTGCTGAAAGCCTTCTCTGTGAATGACACCTTGTTTGAACCTGTGACTAGGTGGACCCCCAAACGTCTAGGCCTTGTTTCTTAGCACTGTGATGTACTTTGAGAAGTACTGCCCTCGGAAGGCATCATCATCCTGATGAGGGATGGCTACTTCTGCTTAATCTGACCTTTTTTCTTTCTAAAGAGATGGGCCCTGAGGCTATGGAGGAGGCGGCGTTTGAGGAAGGAGACAGCACAGCGGTGCCAGCCTCTGATGAGCCAACAGAGGCAGTTCAATCAGTGGGCGAGCCAGGTAATTGCTATCCTTGGGTTACCCAGTGTCATACATCAAACCTCTCCCTGTCGCAGGCTCTGCCCCTAGTGCCTGGTACTGCACACCCTGTCAGCAGCACAGCCCACAATGGTTAGTGCAGAGCCAGTGTTTGAAAAGAAGCCGGGAACAGCTCTCTGAGGAGGACTGTCACCTCTGGGGTGTAGAGTTTTTTGGTTTCAGACAGACGTTCACCTCCCAGCATAGACCATCACAGGACTTTCAGAACTTTGCCAGCGGGGGAACAAGAGCATCTCAGCCACACTCAGCAGACAGTGGGCAATGGGACTCTTAATCAAACAGGCCTCCCACCACACCTGCATCCCAGAGCTTGCTGTGGGTGCCTGGAGGCCCCGGGTACAGCAGAGGGGGATCCCTCCTGGGACCTGAGGGTCAAAGGGGTGCAGATCGGGCACAGGCTTAGAGAGAACCTGCACCACCCTTCCTCACCCTCTGTGCCCGAGCCATGACCTTTCTTTGAGGCATTACCTTTCTCTGACTCTTGGCAGTGCTGTCCAACCCCAAGGAATCCTATTACGCCAGGATCGAAAGAATTCTTCAAAAAAATCGAGGTATGGGATCCAGTCTTGCAGGGGGTCGTAAGTGGGAGACGAGTCCTGAAAAACTGGAGGCACACGAGCAGTGCCCACACTGGGGAAAAGGTGAAGAGGGAGAGCGAGGTTGCTGAGAGGGCCCAAGTCTGTCCCCTCGGGGTGTGGGTGCTGGGCTGGGGAGGGAGAGCTATGCTTCTGTCCCTCTCACTCAAAGGGGCGATTGCTGTGCTCCCCCACGCATGCTCCATCTGGCCTGATGACTTCAGTTCAGAGGGGCAACTGTTCCCCAAGGGTCAGAGGGAGCCTCTGCACAGCAGCACTAGCAAGCCCCAGAGGCTAAGGGTGGGAAGCGCCAAAGGAATTGTGCACAGATGGGAAGGGTGACCAGGAAAGGGGAGCAAACCCCTGACACTGGGAAAACTCAATTACGTCCACCTCAGAGCATAAGCAAAGCTGAGAGGGGAAAGGGGCACTCCAGAGTGCACTGATATGCAATGGCTCTGGGAGTTTCCTCTCTTCTACTGAAACCAAGGAAACATCGCAGCCCCAGGACAGTCACTGGCTCAGAGTAGCTGACAAAGTGAGAAGAACTGGCCCTGGACACGTCAGACCTTCTGTGAGGTGACCAGTCCTGCACAGGACACGCTAACGCACAGAATTGTTCCTCCAGAAGCAGAAGACAAGAGAAGATCAAATGCTGCGGCTCCTATGAATTTCCGCAGATACTGCATAGAAGGGGCCGCGGCAGTCCTGGGCTCCATGCTGCTGGGGATGGTCTTCTGCTGTGCGATCTGTGTGTGGAGGAAGAGAAAACGGTGAGTGTTGTGTCTCAGAGGGCTGTTCTATTAGCCGTGAAGCATGTAGAGGTGGGGTGTTCTGGAGTGCCGAGTTAGTTGCTGGCCAAACTCTACTGAGGTTTCTGCTGCAAGATGTTGGAACTGCCCTCTCCATTCATAGGCACTCTTTTCTGAAACCCCTTCTCCCCGTTGCAAGTGTTACTTAAAAGCGACCCTGCCCCAGCAAGAGCAGACCCAGTGACAGATATAGGCAGGGCGAGGTCATGAAGAACAGTGAGGAAGGGCATTGCCATGGAAAGGGGGCAGCACAATAGTGACATCTCCCCGCCAGTGAACCTCCCAGCAGAAATCACCCTGTTAGGCGAAGCTGTAAACCCCACGTGTTCCCCTCAGTCAAGGTGTCCCAGCAGCTCAGGCCGTGGTGATGAACCTTCCCAGCCCTCAGCCTGGTGCTGGAGCAGGAGTCGCTCTGTCCCGTCGGACACTGCCCGCGTGCGTGTGCTCAGCACAGGACCCCGGGGGCTTTATCTGTGCAGAGGTCTGCATCTCTTTGGATAAGAGTTCTGAAGAGAGGACGGAGGGCCCCTCCACTCCCCAAGAGCCGAGGCTGCCCCTTGTCTGGGCAGGGATGGGCAGGGGATCCGAGTGCTGGTCTCTGGCAGCACCAGGAACCAGGAGGAGGCTCTCCTGGCCCCGCAGGGCCATGCCCAGCTCTGGTCCCCTCGCTCTGCTGGAGTCAGGTCTCCTTCCTGTCACATGCAGAGCAGGCAGGTCAGGATGGGGAGGGCTGAGAGAAGATGAGCCCAGGGGAGGCAAGTGGAGTCCCAGCTGAGGGGTGAGAGGCACCTCATTTTCTGCACAGAGCTCTCTGTGCCCACGGCTCCCACGTGCAGCTGGGACCCACACACCACAGGGTGCCCGGCCCTGCCCCACACCCTCACACCCACCTTCAGCGGAGCCTCAACAGTCTCCTCTCTCTGCAGGCGCCTCGCTGAAGCTTCAAGATCCTAGCCCAAGAGCAGCAGCCGTCCCTTGGCCCTGGACAGCCGGACCGTCCACCGCAGCACCCTGAGAGCTGGGACAGTGCTCTGCTGATTAAGGATAACAATTAAACTCAGACACCAGAGTGAAAAGAGCAGGCGTATTTTACTAGTGGTAACAGTGTAATACAGAAAACATGCAGCAAGAAAAAAGCAGAATAGTGCACTTAAAGCAGCAAACAGCAAAAAACAGGGTAATGCATTAAATCATTACTACACGAGAGAGAGAGAATGGAGATTAAAAAAAATACATCACCACTTGCATATATTATCATCATCCAGATCCGCAGCGGCTGGGCAGCCCCGGTCACAGCGAGGGTTTGCAGAGCCTGTCCCAGCAAGTGGGAAATCCTACGCGGTGCGTCCACCCATATAGGTGAGAATGCCAAAGAAGCTGCAAACGGGCCCAGCCTTCTATACCAGAGATCGACAGGCCAGAATAGCTGGCACCTTTGTTTTGAGCGGAAAATTTCTGGTTTCATCCTCCTGTTGGATTCTACCCGAATCCTGGCCAGGGCTCGGGGGGGAAACCAAGGGAGTTTCTAACAAGGCCAAACACCTGGGATGTCAGCCTCGAAGAAGGCTGAGAAAGGAAAGTTGGAAACATTCTCTCCTCACTACCGACTATATTTTGTCTAAGCTGCATCTCTCACTAGCAAGTTTACATACTTTATTAATGACTACACACTAAGTTAGCAGCTTCAGCTTGGGGCCTGTTGTTCAGGCTGCAGTATTCCAATACTTTAACACTTTCTACATCAGTATAAGTGGGTCGTTACAACTTGGTACAATACCTACTAGCACAATGGTTATCAGTTATAAAATGTACAGGACTCTGGCTTGGGCCAGTTGTCCAAGCCTTAGCACTTCAGACAGACACCAGCAGCTGCTGGAAACCTGTCCCACCTGGCACAGAGCCCCAGGGGCCGACCCTTTCTTTGATCTGATAACAATAAACACAGAGCAGGAGTGCACTTGTTCGCCTCTTCACAGCAGCAAACCCAGGAATTCTGGGCCCATTCTGGGCTCAACGTCACCTCAGGGCACGAGGGTCAGTGAGGGTCCCCCAGCACAGCCCTGCAGCCCCCCAACCCCGCTCCTGGCTGTAGAGCAGCTCCAAAGGGCAGCACCGGGGAGCCCCTAAGCAGCACCCACCAGCGCCCAGGCCTTGCTTGGAAGCGCTGGCACCACCACGGCCTGGAAACAGGCTAAACACAAAGAGGAGTCAGATTCCCTATTTATACTTAAAACACAACCCTGAACCCCTGCAGCCTCCACATTTCCAGCAGAAATATATGCTACTGCAGAGAAGTACAGTAGCACCATCTGTAAATCCCGATTCTCTACTTGTAGACACACACAAGCATTTTGGCTGCCTTTGGGCAGCGAACTGGGGTCTTGTTTCTGGAGGGTGGCTGCTGTGTTCAGACTTGCTAGGGATGAATCTCCTTTTTTTCATCAGCTCCTTTCCAACCTGTCCCCTCAGTAAACAAATCCTCTCCGGATAGGCATAACCAAATGTGCTAAGCACTGCCCCCTCTCCTCTCTGCAGGGTTATTAGTTAATAATAATTCACCAGGGAGGCCAAGGACAAGCCGCCTGCCTGCCAGGGAGGGGCGCGGGGCCTTGCGGGGCTGAACAGCAACCGAAACCCAGTGGGGGCAGAGCGGGACAGAGGAGGATGGCAGTGGGGGTGGTGGGGAGCAGTGAGGACCATCCAAGAGCCTGGGGAAGAGGAGGGGGGGCAGTGCGGGTTGGCTCATGGTGCCAGGGGGACCACAGGGCGCAGAGGAGGCGCGCAGCAGCGTAGACACGCTGACTGCGCCCCCCCCCGGGCAGGACTCCGGCCCTACCAGAAGGGGGGGCACCATGAAACGGGCTCCGCAGGGGCAGCCAGGAGGGTTTAGGGTCTCTGCACCGCCTGACCAGTGTCCCAGCGCATGCCGCCCACTGGGCCCCGCTGCATGATGCAGGGCGAGATGCAAGGAGCTGCTGGTGGTCCCCAACCGTGGACGGGCCGCAACCCGATGGCGCCAGCAGAGTGGGGACGGGAGTGGCTGCGCAGCCCGCGGGGGGCAAGGATTGCTCCCGGGGGGATCCTGCAGTATGGCTGCCCTGCAGCCCACGGGGGTGAAGCGGCTCAAAGTGTCCCTGTCCTCATCGGCGGCGGCCCAAAGACCCAAAAATCCATCGAGATGATGTGGCCATGGCACTTCCCCCCCCACATGTTCCTGCCCGATGGCCCCGCTCCCCTGCCCCGTGTTTATTCACCGCATCGTCAGGAGTGGAAGGAAGAGCAGGCAGATGAGAACTGCTGAGGGGAATGCTTCGGGCCCCTCCCACAGGGTCACTGTGCTCCCCTATAACACCTGTAACACCCTAACACCCTTTAACACCCCTACAGCTGCAAACACGCAGTGACCTTTGTCGCTGGAGGGTTATAAACAACCCACCATGGGTTCCATTCGGCCCTCCACTATGCTAAAGGCAAAATGATCTTTGACATCATTTGGTGGTAGCTTTCATCTCCCCTGTGCCCAGCACTTTCACCAGCTGAAGGGCAGTGTGACACCGTTAGCACAGCGCTCAAAGTCAGAAAGTGTTATTTTTCTATACATTTAAAAAAAAAAATAAAATCTATGTTAAGCTCCCAGCTACAGTTCTGATGATTCGTCAATTCCCCAACTTAAGTGACTGAAGACTAAGCTTATCTAAAAATAAGTGAGGAAGTATTTTCTGCTCTGTATGTGCAGTGATTGTGATGCTTCACAGTCAAGTCATACATCTGACAAAACAGAACTGCCAGTCTTTCGAAACACAGAGCCTAGGGCCGGGTGATAAACACTGCTGACAATAATTGTCTCTCTTGGGACTGGCAGTATCTCCTTGTCACAAAGAGCAGAGCGAGATCAGAAAACACAGAGCAAGAGCCCACCCCAGGTACTTCCATGCTTCTGACAGACCCTGTCACACCACCGTTGTGATCTGCCCGGACTCAGCCTGCAACTGCACAACCCCAGAGGACGTTTTGCTTTCTTCAGCGTATCCGATTTTGTCCAGTAAATTAGTTCTGCACTGCTAACGACAGCACTGCTTGAGAGAAATCCTGTCAGATGGGTCTCATCGGGACAAAACCAGAACAGTGCCTGTCAGTCTCCTCTCAACACTGAAAATGACCCTTGGAGGCCCAGGAATGGAATGAGAACCTATTCTTCCATTGCTCTACACTCAGTTTCTTGGCAATTCTTTATTTGCCATAAAATTTACCTAGATAACCCCCAGGTAGACAGGGACAAATCTCTATGCAATTTAGGAAGTCGTTCCTATCTGTAATTTTTAGGATTCAATGACTTTTCTTGTCCTTCCTTGACCTGCACCATCCCTGAATCTCAGGTAGTCTCCTGGCAGCAGAGATGATGCAGGACTGGACTAAGAAGCAAACGTGGTTACCTACTTACCATTTGGACTATCTGTCTGTATTGGATAGAGGATCTCTGTCCAAGCCTAGAGCCATGAAACCATGTGTGTTGGATGTAAGCACAAACACACAGGAATTGTGCTAATAAAGAACAACACTATTGTCTTAGGCCAGCTCAGTACCAGATTACTAGCTCACATTCCACTGATCTTTCCTTGGTTGTGTATTACAGCATAATATTCTGTCCTCTAGGTTTTTAAGGTTCTTTCTTCTTCAGTAGTCCTTGCTCAACTCATCTGAGCCTAGTGGTGAAAGTGCCCAAACTGAAGTTTCTTTCACACAAGAGAGGGGTTCCAGAAGCAAACATCTTTGAAGGCTTCAGCATTATTCAATGAACAGCCCGTTACTGTCTTTACTGTCTCAATTCTGAATGCAAACCAAAACAAAACCAACACACAAGACAGTCAGAGCAACCCAGCAGCAACTGCCTCGCAGAGCATTAAGCAGCAGCATTCCAGTTGTTTATGCCACACAAGACTATCTTAGATGCACTGCAGTGAACTGAAAGCAACAGAAACAGAACCAACACCTTCTGTTAAAATAAAGGAGATTCTGCATTCCACTGAAAATCCAGCACACAAAGAGACACCTGAAAATTTCATCTACCATGGCTTGTGGCTCTCCTTTATGCCAGCACCAGTGCAGACAACTATTCTTTTATGCTGCCTGATTTAACAGCACCCAGGACATTCCCCTGTGACCTGGATGACATTGCAAAAAAAGAGATTACACTTCTTCCCATTCCAGATACAGTAACGTAAAGCCTTGCTCACGTGTCCAACCTTTCATTAATTGCCCCTTATCCATACAGGTAAGGCTGAAACTGCAAAATGCCCACTTTATCAACAGTAAAAACAAGGTATTGCAAAACTAATGGTTTTGCTCTTCCCCAAGAAATCCACAACAGAGTGAAGCAACACAACCATGGATCAACTAACATAGTTTTGATCTTCATCTGCTGCACTGTGATGCACACGGTAAGTTTTGGATTCTTTTTGGATTCTGACATTGTGAGATCTGTGAGATCATTTGGATTCTGACGGCACGAGATCCTCCCCATCATCCCCCCTGCTGCTGGCATCCTGCTGCTTGTCTTCCTCCATGAGACTTTCCAGTGACTCAGCCTGTTTGAGCTCTTCAGGACTCTGACTCCCTATTGCTGTTCTGTCTTCATGAAGACTTCCAGTGTCTTCCCTCACTGCTAGATCTTCTGGGTTTGCCTTTCCTTCTTTATCTGCTTCAGCCTGAGAAAGGCTCGCTGCATATTTTTGTAATATTTTAAATTATCCTACTCATCTGTAGTGCATTATAAAAACTTTGCAGGACTGCCTTTAAAAAACCCTCAAACATGGTAGCTAAAAATTCCCTAAAATATGTTAACGGCTCCCAAACAAAGAAGCTGTGTGAATTGGAACTGCCATTCTGAATCAGTGGACTGACTCGTATAGATGCCAGACCAGCAATTCAAGAAAACTCCTCAGTTTTCCTTAAAAGTAGCAAAGGGAGAGGCGCGGAGCCCACGGCCCCTGCCAGCTCGCTGCAGCGGTGGTGTGAGGAGGCTGCCTTGCCCTCGGAAGCCGCGGAGGCGCACGCTCATTCCACAGCCACGGGCAGGGGAGGTTTGGCCTCCAGCACCTGCTGCCATGGACCTGAGACACAAACGACCGGGCAGCCGCCGCCTGGCAACGACTCTGGCGCCTCCAGCCTGCCCCAGACTCCAGCCTCTGTTCTGATGGGGGGGGGTACGTTTAGAGTCCAGGAAAACAGCATCCCTCTCAGACACTGATAGGAGTACAAACAGTTCAGAGACAGAACCGCTGCATTGTGCAGATTACACGCTGCACCGGGGGAACTGTCAGCGATTCTCCCCAATTCCTTCACAGGCTTATGGTCTGCAGGGATTTGAATGCTAAGGTCCCTCTTACACACTCTTTATGTCCGATTCATAATACTGTATGCAAAAGCCACATCTGTGGCACCTCAGTTATATGGATTTTATTCTAAAACTCTGTATGCTGGCTGAACTGACCCAGGGAGCCCAACAGGTTCAGAAACTCTTGAATGAGTGTCCTGATATGCTGAACTAAGATGGGACAAAATCTGTCCACAACACGTACTCATAAAAATCCAGATCCCATTACTATTAGCGTGTTATTTCTGCCAAAGCAGCACTCATAGCTTACAGGTGGACTAGTGTACTGATTGCTGAAACACAGAAACATAGCATCCATGCCCAAAAACTTGCTATCCAAAATCCTGGTCTACCAACACTAACACGCATGCTTAAGTTGAAGTCAGTTCTTCCTTGACAAAATTACAGTAATTCTAAATGTACAAAGATTAAAAGGGTTTATACAGATTTTTCCAGAGTGAAAGAATATTGCACTTGAGAATTATTTTTCATGTTCTACTTTAGTTTGGTTTTTTAGTGATGAATACCACCCCGATATCTGAGCTTTTTTTTAACCACTTCAGGGGTCAAGGAGAAGAGTAAGGAGTTAAGAACATACGAAAGAAAATCTGCTTTTGTTGCAGTGTCTTCATCCTTCTGAGTTCCACTCAGCAGTTTGTATCTTCCGTTCATGCAGAAGCTGCCTAAGCCACCCCATACATTCATTGTTACCAAGAAAGCAAGAAGCAGTTCTAAGCAAAGCAATAAG